CGATAACAAAATCAATGAATATCGATAAAAAAATCGATAAATATTGATAACAAAATCGATAAATATCGATAACAAAATTTATAAATATCGATAACAAAATCGATAAAATCGATAACAAAATCGATAAAATTATCGATAACAAAATCTATTAAATTATCGTTAACAAAATCGATAAACATATCGATAAAAATGTCCATAACAAAATCGATAAAAATATTGATAAAAATATCCATTACAAAATCGATAAATATCGATAACAAAATTGATAAATATCCGTAACAAAATCGATAAATATCGATAACAAAAACGATGAATATCGAATAAAATCTATAAAAAAATTGATAACAAAATCGATAAATATCGATATTAAAACCGATAAAATAACGATAACAAAATCGATAAATATCGATAACTAAATCGATAAAAATGTCGACAAAAATATCGCTTAAAAAATAGTTAAAATATCGATTACAAAATAGATAACAAATCGATAACAAAACCGATAAAATATCGATTATTTTATCGATAAGTCACTAGAATCGCGAAAATCTCTAAAATCCCAAAATAGTTCACAGATTGAGTCTCTGTGTCTCTCTCTATATCCTTTCCTATTTAATTACCTTAATTTTAATCTTTCTTCCCCTATCTTCATCTTTACTTTTATCGGTATCCTCATCCTCCTCTTTGTCTTTACTTTTATGTTTATCATTTTCTTCAGCTACATATTCTTCTTCACCTTTGCCCTTATATACATATGTACATATATGTATAAGTAAAGTGTTTAAATTTACCTTGGTCTTAATTTTTGCCTTTATCTTTACGCATCTTTGTTTTTGTTTTTATTTTTACCTTTGCCTTTATCCTTTTCTTTATCTATTTACGTACTCAACTCTACTTTCATTCTTGTATTGGTCTTTATCTAGCTCTCATTCTTTAACCTTCCATAAGCAAATTTTTGTATAATTAATATCATATGGATACACACAAGAAGCACCTAATCCAGCCCCAACCATTTCCGTTGCACCATTTCCGTGTGCGATTTCCGTTGAATTTGCCAATTTACTCCCAACCAACCAACCGCCGCTGAAGTAGTTTCACTTCAAAAATTTTGGGTTTTCTATTGACGTTCATAGGCAATGATCACACGCTAGGTACCTATTCGAATTTCGAAAGGAAAACTTTTTTGTGTCCGTTCCACCCTAATGTACATACATAGTACATGCATGTAATACCTTAGCTTATCTACCTTGAGCTGATTTCAACTCTGTTAATACGTTTTATCGCAATTTGATTGACATGATTGAACATTCTTCTTATCAATTGTTTCAACAAATTCTCATTCTAACGTCACTGAACAAAAACTGTAGCATACATCTGTGCGTACGACAAGCATGTTGCGTAAATTCTACATACAGCAACAATAGCTTATTGTTGGAAGAACAAAAATAAACAAAAAAACATGAACAAAACTGACTGCCTTATAACCGCTCCACCCTGCTCATGGGAAAGCGTACGCGATCTTAAGATAATCTCCAGTAGACCCTTTGCGGCAGCAATCATCAACAGAACACACACGCCGCCATAGACGTTGCCAACGCAAAGGGCTTCTCAATTATGGGGGGCGGCCAGCCGCCAGTGCCTGCTGCGTTACTGGTGACGGTGACTGACTACGGTACATATATACATAGTGACGCTGGTGCCGGTGGGGATACTTACATATGTACATATGTACATGTGTACATATGTATGTGCGTGATGCGCGAGTGGGGAGCGGCAAAAACGCTTGATGATTATGAAGATAATTGTGGAGCAGACTGGCGTTGAGTGAACGCATTTTGTACTTTCAGTACGATAAGTGACACGATCAGCTGCAGTAGTGTGGATAAGAAGCAAGAAGTGAAGCACTTGTTTTGCCGGCGGCACAGCGATTTGACAACGTGATAAATACATACATACATATATGTAGATACTATAAGCATACAAGAGAACGTACATATTTACATACATACATACATATGTATGTGTATTTATTCACTTATAGTATGTTGTTGTTGGAGAATTATAATTTTAATTTATGTACGTAAATTCTACTCGACTAATTAAAGTGATTAACTAAAATAAGTGCACGCGCGCGGAGAAAGTGATTAAGCACTTTTTTCCTCCTTAATTTCCACTTTTGAGAAGTCTATCTTTTACGGGATTCCTACCGAAATACATATAGCAGCTTTAACAAATAAAGAATAGTGAAAAGCGATATCTCGCAATGCTAATCTCCCGTGGATATTATCTAGCGATAAGAGCATCCATCTTTCATCAGCTAAGTTAAATGTGAATGTATGTGTGTGCGGGTGCACGAAAATTTGCGCTGTTGGACAATGTTTACGATTTGAGCTGCTGCCGTTGCCGCTGATGCTGCTGCTGTGCTTACACTCACACACACCCACCCACACGAAGTCAACGTTAAGTAGCACCTCCTGGACAGACAAGTCACTCGGGTATACGTATGCACTATATGAATACAAGCGAATATTGCACAACAATAATAATAACAACAACAACAATAATAACAACAATACGAATTGCAGATAACTCACAAAGCGCATAAAAAGTATAAGAACAAGCAAAAGAAAAGCAGAAAAAAGTATATATAAAATAAATTCCTTTTGTCGCGCATCGCGTCACAGCTACAAAATTACAAGTTAATTTCCGCAACGCACAACTTAAATACATATGCACATACGTGCATAAATACATTTGTTAATCTTGTTTATTTTTATTTTTTATTTTTGTTGTTGTTGTGGTGGGTGCAAGTCCACGCGCTCAATTGAATGTATCCCACATTGTGGCAGCAATGAGTATAACGGCGCGCGGCAAGTGGACCTCAGCGACTGCTGTGGCGACAGCGGGCGTACAGCGCAGGCGTGTGATCAACAAACACATTCAACAGAAGTATCTGTTATGTGGGTTTGCTATACATGTACATATAAACATATTTAATTTAAAGTAAATTTGTAATTATTAAGTACCTACTTACAATTATTTAAATACAATAATTAACTATAAAGTTGAAATATCGAAATAACAAACTAACTCGCAGACATGCACACTTACTTGCTTATATACACTGCCTGCTAGAAGTAAGCATCCCATCAACATTAACAGTACATCAACATTTTTACTCCCTCCTCTCCCTCCTACTCTCCTCTCTAATGGTTTTCTCATTTTTGTATTCACTTTCAGGCCTTCCTCGCCACTCCTGCCTACCTCTACGGCAATGTCGTCGAATCGGATAAGGACTTGGTTTTGCGCATTTGGCCCGCCATTGTTTATCAGGCTACTGGCCAGGTTTGCCGCTCCATTTTAGAACATCTGGACACCGAATATCGGGGACGTGAACGTGAGACCACCGAATATCGTCGCTTCTTTCTTTGCGCTACGCTGATCACTTGTTTGTCGCTTATGATTAGCGGCATATTCTTCTCATCGGCTTGGGTCATTATTTCTACAACAACACAAGCAGTGGCTATAGTATTCTATGGATTCTTTGCGGGTAAGAGTTTAAGAACATCGTCACGCGTGCGTTAATACGATTTGAAGACTTTCAGGAAGTGTATCAGCAAATACACATTACATTCTAAGGACAGTTTACGATAGGTTTAAATAGCTGGGGAATGCATTCCTTCTACACGTAGGTCACTAGAGACTTGTTGTAATATCGTACCGTCTTTCTCACTAGTCTACAAATCACTGGGTTAGTGCTGTAAACTTTACAAAGCGTTGTCTTCTTCTACTTAAAACCGGGTAATGGTATAAAACGTGTTTAACTCTTTTCAAATTCAACAATGTTTCGGTGCGATCATCTCTAATTTTCTGACGTGTATTCCAATTTGGCGGTGGCCTGTAAGAAGAACATTTATTTCCTGTTTAAACATAAAACCACCGAGGAGCGTCTACAGCAGGCTTCACATAACAAAAGATTGTTCCTTCGTGCATTGGATTCTTAGAGTAGTGCGAACTCTTGCTTACCATAACATACAAGTGGTACACCTACCCTGCCCTCTCCTGGAAAGATGTGTGTGGTTTTCTTTTTGGTTGTTGTTGAGAACGAAAACAATGACCCTGAAGATGGAACAAAGCCGAATCCGATTTGACTGCACACGAAATTTGACACGGGATGACGGAAATTCGTTCCAAAATACATTATGTGATGTGTGCGGTCGTTCATGTCTCTGCCGATTCGTCAGCTTTGCAATTAACTTCAACATCTCAGTGCGCAGACACTTCAAAACATTGAATTCTTATATGTTAGTCCATCTATAGCCCTATTGCTTAAAGTAAGCTAACAAGTCCTCAACTTCTCTAATAGCTGAGCAGCCCTAAAAGCTTTGGTCTTACTCATAGTCCTTTGTCGATTTGTTTTCTCTGTTTAGTTCTTTGAGTCCCCTGAATGGCCAACAGTTCTGTTTAATATACAGTGCGGTGGTTGGAGAGACAAAAGGCTGGCTCCAACCTCAATTCAGATGAGAAAACTCAGCCTCCAACTTTGACTGTATATAACTATATCAGACCTATATTGTTGTAGCGGCACTACTATGCCCCGCCTAGGTGGATTTGTCCATCAATCGGTGTCAGCTGACGGTAGGCCCAGTAAACGTATAGTTTCGACGTTATGGTGTTAACTAAGTGCGAATGTGAATAGGTGGTTGGTATCTTAGGGTTATTTCCACATACTGGACTCTCATTGGGTGCGTGGGGTCGAATCTGGTTGAATGGCTGTTGAGACGGCTACGGTGTCCAGACCGTCCCACTAGGCAGCTACATTCACGCCTTTGATAGGTCGAAAGTGGCAGGAAGTGTAGACAGACTCTCTATGAATTCCATTGATAGCTCGTCTATACGTCGTCGGGTCTAATGGTTCTTTTGTATAGGCCTGCGGCATTTTGACAAGTCTGCGGCTTCGTTCACTGCGTCGGAGAAGTCTCCAGCGACCAAACAGGCGCCAACAATGTATCTTTGTATTCGCACCATGTTCTACTGGCAAGCGACGTGAGAACCTTGTTACCGCTCCGTATGTTTGAGAATTTGGAGTTGTTCACCGTCGAAATTGGTTTGTCAGCGACGTGAACGCATAGTTGAAACCTGATCTGCTTCATTCAGGTGGTGAAAAGTACCACCGTTGATTTCGTCGGGGAGAGGATTAGGCTCCATGCGACTAAGTTCGGAGAGGCAGCTATTTACTTCTGGACGCCAATATCGAACAGTCGTCAACGTAAAAGTGCAGGAAAACTCCCTCCGGTGGTATTGGTATTACAACTTTGTATATCCAATCGAACTGGATTGAAATTACACAATCGTCGTTACTCATAGGTATCGGATTGTTCTCGAATGCTTGACCTTCGCTAAATCCATGCGCCAGCTTTTTTAAGTCTTAATGGTGTTGAGTGGTCATCCCCCAAGAAAGTGATTAAAAGGAAAGGGAGATAGGTTCAAGATCGAGTTTACTTATACACAATTCGGGGCCTCTTTGTATTCATTTCGGGTTTATACGCGTGGTTGATTTCATGAGTTTAGGACACCATACTAAGACTTATTACGGACAATTGTGGTATAAACATATGCATATATATAGAATACTATCTTCGGAAACGTAATTCCAAAGATAAATGTAACCTTTAATTCTCTTCTTAAAGGAATCGGTTCTAGTCTCTTCATTTGGAAGACCCACGTCATTTTGGAGGCGGTACGTCCGCGCGAGGATAAGTTTGTTCGCAAAACGATACATCTCTGCGGTGAAGCGTTCTGTCAGCTCTTCCTCTCGTTCGTCTTCACAAGCCTACGTACACTGTACGGCACAGCACAGTCCATAGTTCTCATGTCCGCTCTATTAGTGAACCTTATACCCATTAGTTTGATCATTACGCGTCATCGCGAAGGTTCCATAACCAAACGTATTTCGATGATCACAGCGGAGAGCGCATTTCCGCCACTACATCACCAGTTGGGCGCCTTCCCACCCAGCATTGCAGATCAAATCGATGGCATTGAGGTGCAGTTGCCACGCCCATGGAAAAGTACATTACGAGAACAACATCCCGGACCTGCGACGGCTGCACTTTTTGCCGCAGCAGCGGCAGAAGCGCGTAGCAATTACATGCTGGCGGCCGACGAAGCGTATGTGACCTTTGTAAATCCGAATGGTGTAGAGATTATGGAGATTATACCCGAAGAGGATGAGACCGTGTCAATGATGCGCGGCAGCTCAGCAACGATTGGTAAGAGTCACTCGAGCGTGGCAGCGTCGCAGAAAATACATCCAAATGCTTCTTCGAATGGCTTACAACAGCTGGATGAAGCGGCAAATGCTGGTGCGGCAGCTGATGTTACAGAAGCTGGAAATTTGGTAATTTTGGTAATATTAAGTGGGGTGAAATGATCTTAGATACTAATGTGTATATGTACATATTTATTTGATGACAGCACAAATTCCAACGTTTGTCACGCAATGTCACCACGCACATTTGGAAGAGTTTGAAGGAGAAGACTTTGTTGCCATTGCAGCGCGCATTGTTAGTGCCGAGGCTTTATTCGACAACTCTACTCATGTCGGCGGATATTTTTTCGTATGTAATGTGTCTAACGGTACTACCAGGGCTGGCGGTCAGTCACCATGCAATCAAAAATGCCGAGATACCATTTCTCTTCTCATTGCTGGCATTTCCGTGGATGTGCTTCTCGCTGATGACGCCACGCTTCGGTAGCAGCCTGTATAAGCGAAAAATCGAGTGGCACACATTGGGCAGCGTATGCAAGGCGTTGGCGCTGATTCGTAAGTATAGCAAACAAATTCAAATTCTGTTATCAATCAAACGAGTGGTGGATTACATAATTTACGCCAATATTTCAGTCATCAGCTTCTCTACATCCAAACTTCAACTTAGCGTTTCTTCTGTGCTGCTCGGTTTTGGACAGTCGGTAACGCTTTTTCTGCAGGATGTCGTATTTCAGCGCAGCATGCCACGCGCCCAATGGACTGCCATACGCTCTCCAGTGCATTTCACTAATGGTCTACTAATGTTTGTGTGGGGCGCTTTGGCTCATTGGGTTGTCGTGCATTTTTCCTTTCAGGTATGGGGACTTTTCGATCGGAAAAATTTCTAGAAAATTGCTTATATTCTATGTTCTAGGCTAGCGTCGGTTTAGCCGCTATGCTTTACGTCGTGGGCATGCTAACATGGAATATGATTTTCGTTTGCTGTAATACCAGGGATTGAAAAAGATTCTCATGCGCAACTGTTAAAAATCCAGAAACAAATCTAAAATGAAGTATTAGAAAATAGAATATTGCGAAAATATTTATTTGAGACTTAGATTATTCGATTATTTGTTCCTTGTTAATATAGCAGAATGTATGTATGTATTTTATGTAGTAAGAAAATTCAAAATTAATAATTTCATTTAAGTAAAATCTTACAAATGTACATATATATTATTTTAAAATTTTCGATTAAGATTTAAATAAAGATACATATACATTAGGGTGTCGCACCAAAAAAATTAGCATTGGTAAACAATTTATTACATTTACGTAAGCTGAACGGATTTGAAAATACCACCAAAAATCTCATTATCTTGATTATGCAGCCCTTGTAAGCATCTCAAGTAATTTTTTGAAAAAAAACTATTTTCTCCACTTGATTTTATTTATAAAAAAACTAGATTTTCGACGTATTTTCCAATTGGTCCAGCTCATATAAATCTTATTATTTTTCCGAAATATTTTGGCGGTAGTCTTTGAATTTAATATATTTTTTAATTCCAATGGGAAAGCTCACCGTTCGCTTTTTGTATGGAGAGTGATGCACCCTAACAGACATATGTATGTAAATGTAAATTTAATAGGTGCAACGGAAACAAGGGACATAGAAAATCTTGTTTATCCCTATGATAGGTCACAACCCTGACGGTCCAGTCTTAGTCTAGCCAATACCGGACAGTCACACATAATATGCTCCGGCATCTCCTCCTCTTCAAGACAAATAGGCACTGCAATCCGTATCTGGTGCATAGGACAGCGCGGTGATTATGACCGGTTAATTAGCCAATAAGAAACTTCATGTTTGCTCTATTCAAAAGATTTCTATCTTTCCCAGCAAAAAGATAACCAAAAAGTGTAATCTGTATGAGGCCTCCGCCTCTCCGCAGTACTTACTACGTTCTAAGATTACCCATGCTTCGATTATGAGTCTCGTGGAGAACGAACTGAATCCACAAAACGGCTCCGGTCCCACAAGCATAGACGATGAGCATTCTCTAGCCAATTAGGGGGTGTCAAAGCGCTCCTTGACGTCCCTGGAGGCGATCATTCCATTGGATAGGGCCTGATTTTCGCCTGGTTTTCAGAAAAGATTGCTAGAAAGGCACCCTTCAAACCCTTTTCAAGGCTCAATTGAGACTGCATTCCTCGAACATGCTGCTGCTTGGATAAAAATATGTTATCTAACAAAAACCATGTAAGTCCAAATTAAAAATTTTGTAAAAAAATTTGGAAAATTCGGCGAAGTCCAATCAAAATTTCAAAGTTTTAATTAGAATTTTTTGAGAAAAATTTTGGAATGCAGTTTTACAGCCTATTAAATTTTAGTGAAGCTGGTTAAAAAAATACAAAACAACCATTATGCGAACTAAGTTAACACACCCTTGTGCACAAGGGCGCTCTGGTATATAAAAATAGTTTATGCAACCTCACATACGCGGTTTTGCATTATCTTGATACAAGGTTTTACATTTTGTTGATACGCTGCTTTGTACTTTAAACGACGATATGTTAAATTTTGCCATATTACGACGTTGCAAAAATACTTCTATAGAAATGTGCACAATTTTCTCTTTTTTTTTGGCATACCATGTGTTTACCTTAATTTACGCCATTGTCTAAAATTCTTCATCATATCGCACACCGTCTTCAAAAGAGTCACAACTCAAGATTTGGCATTTTTGAAATTATGCGCTAAAATTGTACACAGAGCATTTATTTACCTTTCAAGATTAGTACGGCTGCATGCTCTTGGACTAACTTATCCCGTTTTTTTAATACGACACTTTCAGAAAAAGCACGAAATATAACGTATATATATTATTGCCATTTTTGTTAAGATTAAGAGCCAGTTACTCAATGTCTGGTTAACACTAATCTCCGGTAAAACATCGTTATCGACGTTACCGACTCCATGTTATATGCATGGAGCCGAACACGTCGATAATGATGTTTAAACGGAGATTAGTGGTAACCACATATTGAGTAAACGGCCCTAAGGGCCGGTTGTTCAATGTCTGGTTATCACTACTTGCCGGTTAAACATCATTATCGACGGTTTCGACATCATGAATATAACATGTGATCGATAAAGCAGCTGTTGTATTTAACCGGAGCTTCCACCTCCGATTTGTGCTTATCAGAGATTGAACAACCGGCCATAAGTCTCTACGATGAGCAGAACTCAAGATATAACGATTTGAAGAAGTACATTATTAGTCAGAATCACGAAAAAAAACCCAAACTTTGACAGATCAGGGGCTGGATTCTGTAACTGTGAGTTTTCAAGTGTACATACCATGAACCAACTAACAAGATCACGCAATCGGAAAAGAATGAAAAAAGTAAATTTGTGAGCGTTTTTGGCATCTGCCTAAAAATGAAAACAAACAAAGAAAACGAAAAAGGCGCGGTTATTGAGTGCGATTAGATTGGTATTTATTATAAAATATAAAAAGTGAAACTTGATGACAATTAGCAAAAAAAGTTCATAAAATATGGTTTTAATGATTGAGAGTGTTTTACAATCGCATATTATCGGCACCGGCCGATTTTTCAATGCCAACGTTCTGACCACAAATGTGCACCCACTTTTCACGCAAATTTAAGCCTCTTGGCAAATCAAACAGACACACAAACTTGTTCCAATCACAAAGCGCTTCATATTATATCATAAATTTGTAATAAATCAAAATTTCTAATTAATACCGCTGCAGAAAACACATAAAATCGCTAAAATATCACTACGAAGAGGTAGAAGACGATGTAAACAGAACCAAAAAACATCAAAAACGCTACGAAAACTTTTTTCTGAAAATCGATTACAAATACAACGATGGCGGATTACGTGATCTGTAGTCGTTGGTTCATGTGTACATACACTGAAAAATGGGTACACTCTTCATTTTGCGATTCAGGAAGTGTGAGAATGAGTTTTGGAACCAGGGCAGAATACCTACATTTCTCTACTTTGAACTTCAATAACACCAGTAGGTTTAACTTCCCGCACAAAAAAAGCGTTATAGTAATAATAACAATATCCCAACGGTTTTTACCCTCCATTCCCGCCCATCCGCACGAGGGGCGCAGTCCGCATGACGTACGGAACCAATATTTTAAATTTTTGCGCCGAGTCACGATAGGCAGGAGTTTGTTAAGTGTCGAGATCTAAAACTGTTCAGCTACAGAACTAAATTCATCAGCTGATTTTATGTATTTATGTCAATAATTCACTTATTGAGAGAGGAGAGTATCGCTTTCTTAATGCTGAAAAGCGGATCTGATATATCAAACGTGCTGGAATGATTATGATCAGGACTAAGAGCAGGGTTGCCACTGACGAAAATAAATACATACCATATATTTAAAAAAAAATCTACGACATCTGGAAAAAATCTACCAAAAACTTTTTTAGTTATTTTCATAAAAACTATAGCTGTGTTCTTTGTTTAGTTAGTTCAACAAAAAAATTTTAGTAAGTAATTTTTCTTTAACCAATGAAAATGTATTTGAGGTCATATTAATGACATCTTCCCGGTTTCCTTCAACTAAAAGCAAAAATGATGAAACTAAAGGCAACAACGAAACTTCATCATTTGAAAAAACTACAACTGCAGTTATTATAGACAAATACAGTGATTCAAAAAATTGCTGGGTGATTTTTTTTTATAATATTCACAATGTTTTTCAGCAGAAATTTTATAATTTTATTTTTGTAAAAGAATATTGTTTGCGCTTTAACGAAAATCATAAAAATCAAGGATTAAAGCTATGCATATACCACATTTAGAAGAATTTAACAAATTAACGCCAAAATTTCGAACTTTTTTCTCTGAATTTTTAAAACATTTTTGGGTTTACAGTTTTTAGTCCATTGAATTTTAGTTTAACCAGCAATACGCACGTGCAAATTCCCGTTAATTTTAATTTTTTTTTTTGCCACCGGACTTTTGTCTTTTTTTCTTTTTTAATTTAACAACTGCCGTTAAAACCGGCGTTGATTTTTTTTTATTTTTTTTTTTTTT